GCGCGGTTACGACAGATTAACACGTATGAAACGTATTTAATATTTACACACGTCAATAATGCCAGCTGTCAACGTCGTCAGTGAAAATATTTTTTTTCAGCAGTCGGAGAAATATTACGACCGTGTAAATTAATATGCAAATGTAAACTCTGGAAAGTAAACAATTTGCCATTGTGTGATGGAATAACAAATCACACGTATTTGTACGTTTATTATGCTGTTCACACATTACACATGCGATGGGATAACTTAGCCAGTGCGTGCAGTGGCTGCCCGCGGTCTGGATGGCAGCGATTCGATTACCGGCAGAAGCAGGAATATTCTCTCTTCCCCACCGCTTCGGAGAGGTTCTTCACCGATCCTCGAACTTATGAGCACCACTGCCTGTTTTCCAGGGGGTAAAGTGGCCGGAGGGTGAAGCAGACTACACATCTATCCGGTGCCGTGGTTAATAATGTGCGGAGCTATGCCTTCCTTTTGTCGAACGTATGCAGACCGCGGTGCTTGACTTAGAGTAGGAAAGGAAAATAATTGGCCTCTGGAGCGGTTCTGACACGTGGAGGTCCGCCTAACACCATCATTTGTATTGCGACTACCTAACTTAACCTAACTTAATCTAACCTAACCTAACTTAACCTAACCTAACCTAACTTAACCTAACCTAACCTAACTTAACCTAACCTAACCTAACTTAACCTAACCTAACCTAACTTAACCTAACCTACCCTAACTTAACCTAACCTAATTTAACCTAACCTAACTTAACCTAACCTAATCTAACGTAACCTAACCTAACTTAACCTAACCTAACCTAAGCAACAGGTCTTCTGTATCTGACGACTAACGCAATTTTGTATTTTCCGTTCCTGTGGGAAAATCATTTGTCATCGAACGTCGTAGTCGAGTGGTTAGCACTCCTACTTCGTATTTATCGAGTTACCGGATTAAAATCTCAGGCTTTTGCCTTAAACGCACCGTAAATTAGACCACGACCGCTTCCTTTCCTGTCAATCCCATTTTCATCGCTGAGTATCATTGTGTCATTCGACGCTTATAGCGTCGTTAAATATGTACAATGTTTGTTCACGCAGACAGGTGACTTTCAGGGAAATAATTACGCAGTACAGAACTGAAACTCCAAACGTAGTATCGACGGATTATCGTCGATTGCCTGCAATATGGCGGCCGCCCCGTTTGTCTTAAATTCCATTTGTCAGTGCTGGGCTCATTTCCCGATAAGACTTGTTACTCACAGATGGTTGCAGTGACTATGGCTTGATCCTGTTTCGGAAACAAATCTCTTTTAAAAAGCATCCTAGTATACATTTACCAAACAGCTTCTCCGTGAGTCGTTATGAGGTAGTGTAAGGTTGACCACGTGCTGTCGACTCGGGTCTCAGGGATAAATAGGACACTGTATTTGTTTGCTTCGAATATTCTCGTGAATGAGGCGCTTACAACTGTGGAGAATGTGCACGTGCCGTCCCACTTGGACCACAGGATGGGCCACACGAGCTCATCTTGTGTCTCCAAACAGCCAAGTTTTCCGTTCGCTCACACGTAATTTGAACGCCAACAATTTTTACATAAGACATAATTAATCTCCTATGAAGGTCAGTATTGAATTTAGGAATGAATCAACGAAAAATAGTTATTAAATAGTTATAATTACGTCGAAGGCAAAGTAAGCGTGGAGCTTATGTCATGGACGTGACGCCTAGGTATCAGGAAACAACACGATGCTCCAAATCATTTTGAAACGCACTGGGGAATAGGCCTCAGTGTCTTTACCGTCAGGCTGTCCGCCTTAGTACAATACATTGGCTTACTCAGTGCGTGTGTGTCGTGGGAATCCCTAGGTTCTACAGTCGACGTCACGTACATACACGTACGTAATGCAAACAATCGAACTAGCAAAGCACATACGTTCTTGCTAATACGTACATACATTACACGTCTTGTAAGCCCCAGGCCACGTATTAGTACCTGCGTATATGCACCACCATACGTGTAAGACCGCCACCAACATTGACATGTAGTACACACTTAATATGCCACGCCCTCTTGTAATACAAACCTTCTGATCTCATTATTTAATAGCTGTCATAACTCTAAAACCTATTTTAAACTAGTACACTTGTGGCATACGAACGATTCATTTGACTCTGCGATTGGGCTACTGAAGACAACCACGCGTGCCTGTTGTTTGTAATTTTTGTTATGTAAGTGCTTTAAGTACAAATGTCACGTCAGCGAACTCTAATTCATAACATGGTTAACAATTTGGCTAATTTATAAATTGTAAGACTTGAGGTTCTCACAGCGGTGAGTATGAAGATTTCCGTCTTCTGGGTTGTTGCGCTGTGTAGTCTGGTCGATGTTAACCAACGTTTCAGAGGTCATACTGCCTCCGTCATCAGTGCGATGAATATTATGATATGATATTCATCGCCCTGATGACGGAGGCAGTATGACCTCTGAAACGTTGGTTAACATCGACCAGACTACACAGCGCAACAACCCAGAAGACGGAAATCTTAATTTATAAATTGTTTGCTACATTTGAGTAAATGTCCGGTAAGTTTTGCGTAAATGTCGTTTGTTTACTAAATTGTTGATAATTTTGAAGTCTCCCAAAACGAGATGTTTTACAGGAAACCACGTCTTAAACAGTAGACCCAGACCTTACTTAAGGCCTCAGTTGACGGTGATCTCTCTTGTTTGTTGCAGATCTGCTTATAGAGTGTCATGGCGTCAGTATCAGGGCCGTCTTTACGAATAGCCGCCCTTATAGGCGTGGCCGTCCTCCTCTGCATTCAGTTCACCGACGCTGGTAAGTATTTTTTCCCCATTAATACCTTTCTTTTATTTCCTAAATTTTTTTGGACGTTGTGATTAACAAAACTGTCAAATCTGAAGAATTCTAAAATGTTATAAGCCAGTGCCTTGACGTTTAGGTTTGTAGGCGTGTTTGAATTAGCATTACATTATTTAATATATGTATTTCTTATAAAACTATTATTAATTACACATTAAAAATTATCAGGATCGGAACACGCGATGCAATTTGCTTGTCGTTCGTTTTGTATTGATGTGAAATGCAGTCTCTTAGCCTACTCTGGGAAAGAACACATTTAAAATTGTTTGAAAAAAGTCTCCAGGAAAATATAAGAATCTAAGAACAAAATAGGAACACGGGCGGGAAAATTTAATATTCTTACGGTAGTGAAGTATAGGACGCCATGTTGGATTGGTCATGTGACTAAGACGAAGAGTTCGCGTCGAAGACTGAGAAGGAGCTGAGAGGATAACATTAAGATGAACGGAGGTGGGGGATGTCGAACCTCCTGCTATCTTATTGTTATAATCATTAAAACTATTATGCTACAGCGTGAACACGTTGCGAGCTAATCACCATAATTTTTTACACAGACGTAATCAAATTTCATCCGGGTTCTGTTCCAACTCACGTCTTTCGTGGTCCAAGAATGACAGAGACCCCTATGCGCGAACAGGAAACATCAATTCCTCTTTTCACATTTTGAAGCTTAAGTGCGTGTTGGTAAGCTTTCTACCGAGTGTAGCAGAAGTCTCTCAAATGCCATATTTCTTTTGTGGCATAGTTTGGCTTCGGTTTAATTGTTCTCTCGTGTATTGCATTCAAACTACGTAGAACTGTTACCAGGATTCGTATTTACAGAACGTTTGTAGGTGGCCCCTGAGTAACGGATCACATGACCTATTTGGATTAATTTCAGTACACTTGTAGTAAACACACCAGCAGTGATCATCGGTCCCAGGACACGAGTAACATTGTTAATTGACTTCCCCTGTATAGCCGACCCCACTTAGGCAACTGCTTTTATGAACACTGTAACTCAATTACTATTCTACAAGCACTGAACAAATATTAAGGTACTAATTGGATTGTGTACAATTTTCGTTTAAGAAACACGCGTTACGTCTTTAATAGAAATCCATACATGTAGTAAGAAAGCGAGCTTCGCCTTATTTTATCAGACACTTTGTAAATCAGCTAAAAGCATTTCCGGCCTTTAAAATACAGACTTTAACCATCTCCGTCAAGTTCTCTTCCCTTCTGCTGTCTTGCCATCCATCTACAAATTCATTTACAAGCGGCCAATCGTCTTGTACACTGAACTGATAAAACACGATGGGATGATGTCCTCTAAACGTTTAACTGTATTACAGAACACGCAATAAACCTCTGTAGATACTGCAAAGAATTGAGTTTTATTACTATATATCCGTCTTCGACTCTGCTCGTTGCATTTACGTGTACCTAACGTCCACAGATCGGCTGCAGATAGCAATAGTTAGAATCGATCTGACTGTTCTCTGCTTTGTACGTCATTACAAGTAGTCGCTGATACGTCCTCCCAGAACATTGAATGGGATTGATAAATATCCACCTGTTTCTTGGTCGTGTAATAAATGCACTGTACACCGTTTATTTCTCCATCTCCATCTGTTTCGTATACCCCGATGGCAACGTGATTTGTAACCAAGTTGCCTACTTAAAATAATGGTATTTTATTAGACATTAGACTATTTATATAGACTGATACATGTGTTTCTCTGCCCGGTGTGATCATTATATGCTAGTCACTTCAGTCTGGATTCAATGAACTATTGAATCCAGTCTGAAGTGACTAACATCCGGCAAGTGACTTAAGAGTCCAGGTGTCTTTAAGATGTCATCTGTGAGTGATAAAGTGTTTGATGTACGTT